TGAGGTGTGGGGGGAACTAAGGGGCCCCTCTCACACCACCCAAACTTGATTTTGAAGATGCCGACAGTCAGGAGCAGGAAAACTCCTAGTACAGCCCAACGCCTGGCAGCTGGTTCCTTCCGCTCACCCCGACGCTCTCAGCCACCAAGGAGGGGGATACTGCCCCCTGCTTCCACCCCAACCACGGCCTGAACCCTCCCTGGGGGCAGAACAAGGCTGAGCTGCCCACAGCCCCACCAGCACGGCCCACTTTGCCCTGGACTCGGCCACTTCTCGTGCAGCACGCGCTGAACAGGACCAAGATCTCCTCGCTCCTGTGACACTGACTGCCCAGCCCCTCCCCAGCAGGTCCCCACCACCGCTCACCCCATCTTGTTCTTCCCCCAGGAGTCACGGTGCTACTCCAGCCCCCACCTTGGGTCTAAATAAATACATTTGCTCCAGAATGTGTTTTCTCTTGGTCTTTTTTTATCTTAAACTTGCAGGGTCCCACTCCCGGAGGGGGTGCTGCCGGGGCAGCTGCTCTGTTGGTTGGGGCAGGGAGGGCGGGTGTCAGGCTGGCTGCCAGGGGAGAGAGTCACTTTCAGTTTTGCAGAGATAAAACAGGGTGGCCACATTCTCCGAGGCATTTGTGAAGATGCACAGAACGCACCTGCCCCAAGGGTCCTCTCTCCGCCTGCCAAAGGGTGCACGAAGGGACATGGCAGCCCACAGGACAGGCCCCTCACCTCACCAAGACGCAGGACACGTCCTGGTGCAGCCTCAGAGCACAGTTTAATTCTGCCATGACCACGCAGAGACAAACACCCGCCTGACTTCGGCCTCAGCACCCACCGTCGGGGACACTAACGCCTTCTCCGCAGGGGAGGAGCCGGCTGTGGTGAGAGACCCAGAGACGCAGCCATGCAGCGAGCACGGGAAGGAGGTCGAGGCCAAATAAACCCTCCCTGCCCCACCGGAGGGCAGAGGGCAATGTCATATCAAGGCACAGGCTAAGACCAATGCGTGGCCAAGTCACAGCCCTGTCCCCACGACGGAGGAGAGCAGCAGCGTGAGACGGCTGCTCCAGAGGCTGTGGCGGGACAAGAGGAACGCCAGGCCCTGCCCCAGAACTGAGTCCCTTGCTGAGGACAGAGGCCAGTCCCACATCACTTGTGGTGTTTTTTCTTCTGTTCTTTGCGCTTCTGAGCCCTCACATCCTTCTTCAGGCGGCTGTCGACGACCTTGAACTGGCCCTTGACGCCAGGAGGACGGCGCACCCGGCGTCCGACGCCTTTCTTAGCCACCAAGTAGGTGACCTGGCGCTTCTCCTTGGCCAGCCCAGCCTTCTTGTAGATGCTGTGGGAAAAGGGCAAAAAGGTAAAAAGGTGAGACCGAGATGCCAGCCCAGCTCCAGCAGTTTGGTTTTGGGACGTATCCAAAGATCGATACGGGGTCCCACCACTCCTCTGGGCCTTTGTGCCCCAAGAAGGGGTTCCCGTGCCTGTTCTGCCCCCGCTTCCTGTGCCCTGGTCCAGCCCAGGACAACACGAAGGGTCTGGATCTTGGCTTGGTCACTCACCGCCGCAGCTGGGCCATCTTCTCCCGCTCCGAGATATCCACCGTGCTCACCACAGCCTCCGCTTTCTTCTTCATCTGCTCCATCTTCTTCAGCATCTGTGGGGACAGCGAGGGTGAGTGAGGAGGAGGAGGAGCAGAGGAGGGACGAAGCACCCGGGAAGGGGAGCAGAGTGCCCGTTCGGGTCCACAGCCTCACTCACCCGCCGCTTCTTGCGGGCTTTAGCCTCCGCCACTTTTTTGATGGGGCGGGCGTTGATTTCGCGCCCGCGCTGCCGATACGCCTCACCCGTCTGCCGGTCCACGGGTATCTGCTTGCGCCGGTGCTGCTTCTCCTCCTCTGTGAACCACTCCGGCAGCTCCCCCTCATCCTCGTTGAAGGAATACCTGGAGAGGGGAGGAAACTCGGGTGAGCTGGGAGCAAGACATGGGGTCTCCACACCAACATATCTGCCACCCCCAGGGCCCATCTCCTGTTGGGAGAAGAAGCACTGCTGCCCCTCCAGCACCCACAGCCCCAAGTACCTGTTGAAGGAGTCATCAATTAGGTCCCGTCTGGCCTTTTTGGAGGTGGCGATGATGGAGCCGAGTGCCAGGCCCTCTGCGTCCAGGACACGGGCTTTTTTCACTGCATGTGGACAGACTGAAGCTTAGCCTATCTGCAAAGCAGCCTGAAACCCAGGGAGCAGCCCTGGCAGCCCAGACAAGCACGGTCTGAACCTGTGTCCTCTCCCTTGAGAGGAGCTCACAGGGTAGCACTGGGTTCACGTGGGTCCAGACATCATCCCCCAACTCACCTGGGTCCACAATGGGCACTATCTCGAAGCCACATGGCTCAACAGGGCCCCGTTTCCTCCCCACCAGTGTCGGTGGCCTGTGGAGAGGAGTGGTCAGGGCCAGGGTCCTCACCTCCCAGCTCTCTAGGACTGCGGAGCTGGGGGAAGAACACCCAGGGCAGCCCCCTCTCAGTCCTCACCTCTCCTCGTCGCTGCTGCTGTCGTCATCGCTGCTCTGCTCATCCTGCACTTTACCAGCATCGGGCCCTGTGTCTGCAGCAGGCAGGGGCTCAGCTGGAGCTTCCTCTTGGGGAACTTTCTTCTTCGACTCTTTCTTCGTTGCTTTGTCTGGGGAACAGGAACCACTGGGTGAGAATGGGTTGAAGCAGACCCAGGGCAGATCATTCCTTTAGACCCAGCTCATGAAGACTACGCTAACGTCGGCTCGTTAACTGTGTAACCATACGGACTGGAAACAACCCCTGGACGTGTCTGGTCCTGCTCAGAGCAGCATCCCCATAGAGGTTTGGTCCCCCTGTGCCCCCTCCACCAACCTCTCTGAGACTCGCGCTGTCTCTCAGCCAACATCCGCGACTGCCCCAGCTCTAGGTCTTCATCTGCATCGTCCTCAATGCCGGCAAAGGCGTCCTGGGGACAGGGAGCACAGGGTCAGGGGACACAGGAGAAGACCAGGGGGAGGTGCCAAGCCTGAGGCGGCTCCATCATTTCTGGCCCAGCAGGACTCACCTTGCCAAACCACAGGCTGGTTTGCCGTTCCTCCAGCACTGACTTCTCCTCTAGAGGCACCAGCAGGGGATTCTCCTCTTCCTCCCCTTCCTCCTCCTCTTCCTTCTGCTTAACCTTCCTCCTGTGACAAAGAGCGGCAGGATCAGTGTCCCTCAGCCAGCACAGGGTGTGTCAGACTCCGGAGCTGCTCCAGAGAAAGCCTCTGTCCCAGGGAGGTCTCTCCCAGCTCTCACCTCTTCACACCCTGCTCTCGCCTCTCCCGCTCCAGCCGGCGCTGACGAGCCTCTATCTCAAGCAGCTCCTCTGGGTCCAGATCACTGGCCAGGGACACGTCATCGTCTTCTTCACGATCTGAGATATAAAGGTCGTCGTCTCCAGGTTCTAGCTCCAGGAGGGCATCTGCCGATGTCATGTCCCCCCGGGTCACCTCATTCAGCAGCTGCAACGTGAGAGAGATGGGTCAGGAGCCACAGCCTGACAGCCCCACGCCCGTCACTGTCCCTGTCCCGATGGCTCGGGGAGCCTGGCTGTGCCCTGCCCCACGCACCGGGGTCCTCTGGATAGTCCGGAGGGAGAACATGCCGGTGTCACCATCGTCAGCGATGGAGACACCAGGGAGATCCATCTTCAGCTCTACACGCTCACGCTGCTTCCGCTGTTCCTTCAGGATCTTCTTCTTCTTCCTGGAGAAAGAGGCAAAGGAATGAGGTGACACTGTCCCCCTCCCTCCGACTGTCCCATCCCAGTGGCTCACCCACAGCCACACGGGTGTCAGATCTTCCTCAGCAGCACTGCCACCCCCCTGCGAGGGATCCCCTACCCCGGGACTGAGGGGGCCCACACCAGCTTGGAACAGCTGCTTCATCCACCTGGAGGAGCAGACAACCCCGAGGGCCCCAGAACCACAAACCCCACGCACTGTCACCAGCAGGAAAGGCTCTGACACTGCCACCCTCTGTCCCCATGGCCAGAGCTTCCCTCAGCGCTCCCCCACCTCTCCTCATCTGACCTCTTCTTACCTCTTTAACTCTGCCAGCTCCTTGGCCTTCATCTCTGCCAATGCCAGCTCCACCTCCTCCTCTTCTTCTTTCACCTCATCATCTGCTGCTCTTGATGACGCTTTCTTCTCCTTCTTCTCCTCCTCTCTGCCTTCCTCCTCTTCGCCAGAGCTCAGGCTGTCAAAATGAAGGAGGAGCTCAGACCACCTCTCCTGGATGTGAGCCCAACCCACTGCGTGGCCGCTCTGGGGCAGCTCCATTATTCCTACTTGATATCCAGCTCCTTCGCCTGCTCCTTCAGCTTTTTGGCCAAGAAACGCCGCAACTTTGTCCTCCAGTTGAGCAGGGCTCTGTACGAGAAGACAAACCACTAGAGACACCCACAGGTGCGGTGCAACGCCCTGTCCCAGTCCCTCCCTTGCGCCCAGTACCTGAGCTCTTTGCGTCCCAGCACGCGGATGTCCTTGCAGCACTGACGCAGCTCCTCCGTGGTGGAACTGTGATTCTCTAGCTCACCATCCCCCAGTGTGATCTGGATAGAGCAGTGGGGAATTAATTGAGCACGGATGCCAAATCCCTTCCTTCGATAAGAATAATCAACTTATAAAACACAGACACAGCTGGATAAATTCTAGGCAGGCTCTGCTCTGCCTCACTTCCACGAGAAAAGGAACGGGGCCATGCCTAGGGCACCTGGCTACCTTTTTTTATGCTCCTGGGGACATCTGAGAGGCCACCAAGGTCCCCCTCACTTCAGGCACTGACCTCATTAGCCTTGGAGAGGAAATCCACGGGGTTAGGGGCCTTCAGGAAGTCCATCAGGGTGAAACGGTGGTAGAGGGTCATGTCACCATCTGCGTAGCCTTCAGCCTAAAGGAAGAAGCAGCTGTGTGAGCCGTAGCAGGGCTCGAAAGCAGCTTCAGCCACCCTGAATGGACAAACGACGTCACATAACTCGTGGATTGCTGCAGCATAAACGTGCCTAAGGCAGGCCAGCCGGCCCCAGCCTGCCGGCTCCAAAGCGTCTCCCAGTCCCACTTCAGACTCCAAGAGGTAACAGTGACAGAGGTTTGTGTCAGCTTCAAGCCCAGCTGAGACCAGTTGTCATGGTCATTGCTGTCCTGTGCCCTAAAGACACCTCAGAGACACAAACCCAGCAGCCAGCCACTGCAGGAAGGGTTCTACCAGTCCATCTCCAGCCTCATGACTTGTATCACCTTTTCCCCATCACTGCAGACTCTAAACCTTCCCAAACCTGGCTCTTCCACTGCTTCACCTCCCCACCTTTCATTCTCCTGAGCACAATCTCTTCAACCTGAGAACAACCTCTTTGACCCTAATCTTGCGTCCCACTCATGTGTGTTTGGCTTCACTTGTACCTTTGGCTTCTTCTTGCTGACCAGCTCGCTAACGGATTTAGTCTGAACCTCCACCTCCTTGAAAGCATATTTTGGGTCGAAGAACTTGCTGTCGATTTTGTCCGGAGCCTGATAACCTGGGACAGAGGAATCAGAGCTATCACAGAGGGTTTTCCCCCAATCCCATTCCAGCGGCTGCAAGTTCCCCCGGCTGCTCACCCTGGCACACCACAAAGATCTCAGCAGATTCATTGCGGGAGGCTTGAGGTTTGGTGGCCTGGACCTTTTGGAAGAACTGCTGGAAGATCCAGAGGAGAGGCTGGTAATCCCGGGAACGGAAAACCTTGGTGATGAACCAGCCGCCTTTGCAGAGGAATTCACAGGCCAGTTTCAAAGCCATAAGAGTCAAATTGGCTGGAGAGGAGTGGGAGAAGAGCAGTCAGTGGTTGTCACCACCCACACTACTGCCCCCCGCCCTCGTACCCCCCCCAAGCAGACCTTGGG